CTCTGGCGATAGAAGACTGTATGTCTTATGTTTTCTCGAGTGTCCTACAATTGCATTGTCGTGAAACTTCTACAATAGATTTACTCCGTTCCACTTGGCAACACGAACTGCACCTGGTTGTGCAGCTTCAACTTTTCTCATATTTTCCAATCTTATATCTTGCTTGTTCTTCCGTCGCAGAGCTTTTCAATCTAGGACCAAGGGTACCGATAACGCTGCCGGCTGAGGCTCATCGATAATCTCGTTAGTGCATCTTCGATTTTCTTATCCAACCTTGGCCATTACTGAATCTCAAAATCATAGCCCATTAGCTTAGATAACCACCTCTGTTATTCCTCAACCATCATCCTCTGCTCCAAGGGATATTTTAAGCTCATCTGATTTAACCTGACTAGAAAGTGTCGACCCAACCGGTAGGGTCGCCACTTATGATGGCCAATATAATTACCATCAACTTTTGCTTGTACACAAGCTGAGCCTCCTCCTAGTTGCGAGCACCTGGCTGAATTAGGCAATCGACTGCTGAGCCTGCATGAGTACTGCTCCTAATTCGTCTTCTGACGTATCCGTTTCTACCACAGATGGTTTACTGAAGTCTGTTAATACTAGAACATTGGTCATGTATCTCTTCAGATGTTCGAAGGTCTGTGTTGCTGTTTCCCTTCACTTGAAATAGTCTTTCTTCAACAGCTCTATTAGTGATAATGCTATTGTGTCGTACCCCTCACAAATTTATGATATTATCTGGTGAGACCTAGGAACTCTATCAAGTCCTTCAAGCTCTTTCGTAAAGGTCAGTCCACCAAGCCTCAATCTTGGATTGGCCCGCTGCTACTCTTGCCTTGGTCACCACGTGCCCTAGGTACTCCACTTGTAATTGTGCAAAAGAAGGAACATTTCTTCAAGTTGGCGTACAACTAGTGCTCCGTTAACTTTTTCAAGATCGTCCTTAGGTGCCCCACATGCCGTATTTGTACAATTGTAGATCAGAATGACATCGAAGAAGACTAGGACGAATTTCCTAAGGAAGGGCTGAAAATCCCGATTTATGAGAGACTGAAATGTGGTCGGAGCGTTGGTGAGGTCAAACATAATTACTAGGAACTCGTAATGTTCTTCATGTGTCCTGAACACTATCTTGTTCATATCAACTGGATTCATCTTGATTTAGTGGTATCCCAACTTAAGATTAATTTTCAAGAACATTAACTACCCCATAAAGCTCATGTTGCAGTTCATCAATCACATGGATAGAAACCTTGTCCAATATAGTTTCATTGTTCGAAGTTCGGTAGTCCACAAAAAATCTACAACTATCATCTTTTTTCTTCACTAATCAGACTGAACTGGAAAAGGGACTTACACTGGACTTGAAAATCCCAGCTTCAAGCATCACTTGGATTAACTTCTCCATCTCATTCTTCTAAAATTTGAGGATACTGGTATGGTCTGAGACCGATAGGAGGGACAATCTCCTTCATGGTATTGGCATGCTTGTGCTCCCGTGGTGGCGGTAATTCACCAAGCTGATGAAAGATGTCTGAAAACTACTGTAGGAGCTGTTGAACACCCTTGGGGAACTCTTGTGACTCGGGATCCCGGATTTCTTTTATGCTCTGAGACTCCACCAAATAGCCCAACTCTACTCCTCGTACGTCTTGACCATGGTTTTGAGCGAAACTATGGTTCTACGTAGGCTAGCATCTCCTTTCAACACCATCTTCCTACCCCACCTTGAACTCTATTGTCAAGTATTTCCAATATACTTTCATCTCCCCAAGCATTTGAGACCGCCCAAAATCACATCAGTGCTACTCAATTCCAAGGGAAGGAAGTCCTCCACTTGTAGGTACGGGTCTGTTTGGGGCAACTGCAGCTTATTGAATAATTTGCTGATAAGCTGATTAAAAACAATCTGCTGATAAACTAAGTGCGATGACTATTAAAAATTTTTATTTTCTTGGAAAAGCTAGACCACTGCTAGAAAACTGCCACCGCACCTAGACAAGTGCGGTGTGAAAACGTTGTTTTCAGTGTTTTGAAAAAGCATAAGCTGCCAAAATGCAACTTACCCAAACATGTCAGGTGAGTTTTCAAAACGCCACCGCACCAAATAAGCTGCCCCAAACAGACTCTTAGTATCAAAGATAATCTTAAGGACTATAATTCTATCACCAACTCTATTAATTTTTACAACATTATCTTTCAAACTCTTATTTAAATCACACCTACACCATTTCTAATGCGACTCTTACCAAAATACCAAAGTTTAAAACCTAAATTATCAATCTCCTTAGCTTTTTCTCCAACTCACTTAGTTTCTTGAATACATAAGATGTTAATTTTCCTATGAATCATAATATCAACTAATTCCATTAATTTACCATTGAGAGCGCCTATATTCCAAGATCCTATCCTAATATCAGTTTCATTTGTTTCATGGACTAACTTCTTTACCTGCATTCCCCCGTAATGAGGGAACCCTTGTTTATTTAACACTACACCCGGGCGCTGGTGTAGCGGCCCTTGCACACTTTTCACTGTATTCAGACTATACAGCGCGTCGCTTCCAGGGGACGCCCTAGCACTTACACAATGATCAAAAGGATTCATGTCATGATTTTTTCGACAAGTTTTGCGCTGGCTGTAGACTACCTAACGCAACCCTCCACTTTTCGCATCCGGGCTTGGGACCGGCAACGACAGTGTTAAGATGATAAAGAGATATATAAAATAAAAGTAAAATTAATTAAAAATTCAGCAAAGGGCATTCTGCCTCTAATCAGATAAATCATGATAAAGTTGCGGATATAAATACATAAAAAGGAAGTCATCCACCGTTGTATCATTGATTACAACAGATGTTAAGTATAAAGAAGGAAATAAATATTAATAAAAAGTTTAACATAAAAGATGCTACTTTGAAATTTAGATAAATTACAATAAAAAACAATTATAAAAATTTCTACCATTTATGGAAGAAGCCTTGAAAGGGAAAATAAATATTGATTAAAAGTTTTGTGACGTGCCAAGCAAATTGGCTTTTTCAGTTGCTGTGGCTACAACAAAAAAACAACTGAGAAAAACTAATTTAAACATCCTTCAATGGCATGATGTTCTGACTAAGAAATAGTGAATCAAAGCACTTTGAAAATATAGCAAGAAGTCACGCAGAAGTGGGAAATCAGCTTGGTTTATTTGATTAGAATTAACGATATCATAGAATCATCAAGGGAGAAACTATGAACCGAGAGTGCAGGACATGGCATGTTGCTATAAAATAGACTAATAACAGTTATGAAACAAATTTACAAAATAAATATTAGTTTCTAGTGAAGAATTGCGGCGAAGTAGGTATATTCTAACAACTAATAATTTTCTTTCCATACATAGTCTTTGACCTGACTGAAGAAAAAGCAGAACTCAAATATTAATACCTTTGAAGGCCTGATCAATTTCCATGTTTTACCCCTAAGAAAGATCATCTTGAAACAGATTGGAGTATTTCACAAGCATCAATTCCTCAATCAAAAGGATATTTCTCATCTAATCTTACACAGGAAAAAAAACGCTTCACTTCCAAAACATGAAAAGCAGAAAGCATGCATTCAAATAATGAGTTAAAAACTGTAAGAATTAAATTCTCACAAGCTTAAGAGCATGAAAAAAAATTGATGAGGTGATTAACAAATAAATGACATAATGAAGATTATACTCCACTAATGAATCTCATATCCCCAAGCAACAGTAAATTAAGAAAAGCCCTTGTGTACTTCTCATATATAGGGTACTATCTAAATGATTGTCATACTATAATTTCCTCATCCAAAGAAGCAAAATCTTCATCGTACTGTTGTACACAATAATTGAGACACGAGCAAACTGTAGATAATGGTAATATGAGGATTAAAATAAGAATACATAAAATTTTCCTTATTATTTTCTTGATTGGTCATTCTTTACTATCGTTGCATCATTAGCGTGAACCATTGCTCTAGTTCTCTCGTTTTGCAGATGTGTGGATCGAATTCATCTTTAATGCAAATGGCTAGTGCAAAATAGGATGTCCAAAAATCTGCCCCAGATTTGAGCCTTATAAATAGATAAAATATCGTGTCCTAAAAGGTTCTACATGTTTGTTGTATTCATTTTTTCACATCATATGTTTGGTTTGCATTAGAAGTCATAAGTAATATTTATCCTACATGCCTTCTGCTGCATCAACTCTCTGCAAACCTCATAGTTTGTCGAAACCCTTTGTGTTTGGTACTTTTTTACAGAATATTGGATGAATAAATGATGAAATATTATTCTGCATTCAATTTGACATTGCGAAATACAATTCTGCAAGAAATGGACAATTTTTCAAGGGCATTTAATTTAGCAAGTTATAAGAAAAAATCTTACAATGATGTGGCTATATAGAACTATGAATTTTTTTCTCAGGTTGACATTAACAATGCTAACTCTTCTGGTATAGTATGATTTTGATTGGGTTTGTTCCTTTTCAGCACTTCATATTTTGTTTTGAAGTAAAGATGAACAAAGTATGTTAGAAATGTGCATAAAATTACAATTTATGCGTTTTTGAACTTTTTTTGCAATCTTCAGCTGTTGAAGATGGTTTTCAAAGGACAAATCTAATTTCCTTGCAGCCTACTTGGTTGGCATTGCCCAATTGCTTTCATGCTACTCTTATAGATTTTGATTATTAAAAATGTAAAGTTGCTCTTTTAGAATTATCCAAGTTTTCAGACTATTTGGTAATTTATAGAAATCCAGTTATTTGGATGTTAGTTCAATATGCACTTAATTTCCACTATATAATACTGTTAATTTTTTTCTTTGCTTTTGTAGGCTATTTATCAACTTTTTTGAAGAAAATATTATTTTTGTGGCTATTTTTAGCCAGATTCTCTAGCCATTTTATTAACAATTTCCAGTTGATGGTTCTTCTTTCTATGTACTGTTAATGTATGTTGTGATACATTTTTGAGCAGGGAACTTTTCTTCCTTTGGTTGTACCACCTAATTTTTCGCAAACTGTTTTATGGTCAACTTGGCTGGTTGTTCTTTGTTCCCTCAAGGTAAAATCTGCTGAGCTTTTGCTATAAACATTTCTTAGTTCTAAAAGTGATTGTTTTATTTAACGTGGATTCAGTTTTATTTATTGTAAGCAGATGCTTCAATCCCTTGCTAAAGATCGGCTTGAGCGGCTAAATGCATCACCTACCACCACACCCATCAAATATTTCCGTGTATTTTCTGCTTTATTACTTGTGCTTGCTGCTGATATGTTTTGGTATGTATCATAGCTTATAATGCATCTTCATTGATCTATTTATGTTAGCAGACTCCTTTAAGTATAAATCAGTTTCTATTACCCAAGGTTGCTGTTAAAATAGTCTCATAGATCACTAGGATTTGCTATTCTCAAATATATTGCAACTTTTCTGACGCTATTTGCATCACTGAATATTTCTCTGTTAATCATTAAATGTTTTATGGCAGAAATTAAACTATAGTTATGGTTCGTAAAGTGGTTCTGCTCTTAATTATTAAGTTTGTGTATTTCATATGGTCATAAAAATCTGCTGATGTTGATACTGCTTCTGCATTCTTTTCAATAAATAGTAACTTGATTAATATAGTGGGTGTAAACCTGTGCTAAATGCCTGAGAAGATTTGCAAAGGGAGGGTATGTTGAAGAAAATAAGTGTAATTTTCTGATGATATAAGTACTGAAATATCTTTTGCTTATTCCATTATCATTTAACAAACATTACACTACATGAGGTGCGTTGAAGCTACGCATTAAATATTTTAAAGTAAGAAACAAAAGAACCATAGAAAGGAAAGGTGGAGAGCTTTAATAATCCTATTATTTTGTAGTGATATTTTATATCACGATTTTATAACATACCAGAGATCATGATTGTGATTTGTATGATTATTCCAAAAGCTTCTATTATACTCAATAAAATAGTTGAAAAGATTCAACCATGTTGCTGTTCAAGTTGTCATTGATGCTTGTGATCATCAGGAAATTGACTTATACTGTGCCTTTATTTGGAGAAATTGGATAATAAAAAACATTACAAGGCATTTCCCAAAATAAATGACAATTTAGTGACCCTTGGTAGCTTAAGAATATTATGGGCAATGGGAAAACATAGTAGCTTTGGACTGATAGCTTAAGGTGGGGGGCTTATCAGGAGAGGGCAATTAAATGATTAAAGGCTTTATTACCACATTTTTTAGTTTTTGCTCCTGTTTGTTAATTGCATTTCTTTATCTTTTAATTTTGGTTTAATATGGTAGTAGAGGGAAGTGCTAGCCTTTTGTATTGATTTTAATATTTCTGTGCATTGATCTTTCTTCTTCTGAAAGAAGTGCACTCAATAGCTGAGAATATTTCAACCCTCTGAATGTAGAAATGTCCATTTGCCAGGTGGTTTGGCTCGTTGATTTTTTGTGGAAACCCAGTTTCTTTACTTAGACATCTTACCTGTAACTTAGAAAATGCAGCTTTGATAAGATCTTTTGATTCTCTGCGTTCTCTTCTTTTTCTGCTTCTAGTATGTTTTGCTCGAAGTAATTTTCTTTTTTTAGTGATTCTCATAACTATATGAAACATGAATCAAAGATTCCTGTTGATTTAGTCTTTCTCTTTTAATTAATTTTCTAGCATATAGACTTGGAGGATGAATTTGTATTAGTTAGAAACTTAGTTGTTGCTACAAAAATGGTAAATAATATGGTTGAGCTATCATTCTATTGAATGAATGAAACCTAAACATTAATGAAATGTTGAACTTGTCAGTGTATAGTGTTAGAATTCGTCATAGTTGCACTATCTATTATGTGTGCTATATGCTTGCTGAAATTTCTATGAGAACTGGAAAAGCCTCTTGAATTTACGATAAAAGCTACATTTCATGCATCGATTGAAATTTTTGTTTACTCAATTTAATTTATAATGTGAGGTCTAGTTGCCATCAAACATCTCTATTCACTATTAACACCTTTTTTCAGCCTTAAAATGATTTTAGTTTGCGGATTTTGATATAAAATCATATGTAGTTTTTTATTTTTTTTAAATTTTTTTGTCACTTGTAATGATTAAGGAAGTATGTCTCACGGTGAGATTTGATCTTAAATAATTGGTTTGCTTGTGTGTTTAAAACTAGGGGTGTCACCAGGACCCAACATGAAAATCCAACTTGAACTCGACATGAAAAATCCGGATTTGGTTCAACACATAATTTTTGGGTGGGGTTATGTCAATTTAAGTGTCTCAAAAAATTTGGATTGAGTTATGATCAACCTAAAAATAACGCTATATTTATTTTGATCCCGTTTTAATGAAAAAGTCTTAAAAACTGTAATTTTTAAGTTATTGTTATTGAGTTGCGTCTGAATTGAATAATTGTGTTCTTTCAGGTGGGGTCGATACTAGCCCTTCACAACTTAAATATTTTCTGTCAGGTTTGATTTGAGTTTGGGTTTAATGTGCTCAGGTTCTAGTTGTGATTTTTGACTTGTATATTGAATTGGCTGGATTTGGGTTGATTATATTTATGTCACGCTATTTTTGGGTTGGATCTGAATACAACTTGTGAAACCGAATCAATTCCGCTATTTAAAACCCTGTTGATTGATGGTTACCCCCATTGGAAGATGCTATATTCTGTTTAGGCTTATGCTTTCAACATTTAAATGGGATAATAAACTTTAGCATTGGAGCGTGACCCAACACATTTGACTGACCTATTATGATACCAGAAATATTTTTCCTAATCTCGGATCAGTAAAGCAGTGTATATCCATGTATCATGTGGCTGTTGTGTTCAAATAAGCACATTAATTTGTTTTTTTTCTGTGTGTGTGTGTTTATTTTTTTGTTTTTTCTGATGAAAAATTTTCCATTAAATAATGTTTAGATTGTTATTGGAAAAACATGATTTGGATGTTATTGATTTTCAGGCTAAAGCTGTGCATGGTGGTATATACTTCTTTCAGATCCAGTTTATTTTTGCTTCTGTTTTTTGAGCCTTTCAGTATAGCTTTTGAGACATTGCTGGTAATTACTTGTTCGTATCCTTCATCTCATGTATGAATGCCCAATTTTCTAATATTCTGCAGTTTCAATCATCTTATGCTATCTTGTTATGAAGGTGGATTTTTTTTTTCTGCCTTTATGTTTTTATGGCTTAATAATTGAGGCAAATGCGAAAAAATGTAAGGACTTCTGCAACTCATAAGTTTATGAATTTGGAATGTGGAAAACATAGCAACCTAGACATTCCATGGGGAAAGGGCTTCAGAAAATTTTTACTGATGTCAACGTTGATTAAAGAAATGGTATTTTAAAATAACTGTCTAGAAGTTATACAAGATTCAGCAAAAGGAACTTCAAAATAGTATTTTTTTCATGCTGGCAAGAAATTAGGAGAATTTCATATTTACTTTGTATTCTATATTTTGATTTTCATAAAGAAATTTGCGCCTTTAAACGTGATGAATAAAATATTAACCAAAAATTTGAGTGTTGTTGTTGGAAGAAGCATTAATTGTCAAATTATGGTTGTATGGCAATGCATTTAAAAAGCCACCAGTGCTCTAATTCTATAAATCATACAAGGCTGGTGGAGAAAATAGTTGAAAATAATGCAGTGCTTTAGTGCCTTGTGTTTCAACTCTCTCTAATATTGATATTGTAAGTTGGTGTAAACGAGTCATGTCGAACTCAAGCCACCTAGGCTCAAGCTTGAGCTTGATTAAATAATTTAGTTTGAGCATAATTCTTTGAGTTCGAGCCTTACGACCCGGGCTTGTTTATTATATAAGAGAGAAAACAATATTAATTCAACATAGCGTTATGATAAAATGATAGATTGAATAAGCAACTAAGAGAGAAATAATAATAAATCACTTGATATAAAATGTAAATCATCATTTTTTTAATATTTATAATAATTTAAAGATGAAGTATTGAATTTTTAATATAATTTGAGTATATTTTATATTAATTGTTTTTTAAACAAGTCACTCACAAGCAAATGAGTCGTGTTGGGGTTAGCTTGAGCTTGGCGTTTTAGCTTTTCGACCTTAGTTCACAAACCACTTATTGAGCCGAGCTTGAGCCAACTCTTGAGAGTTGGGTTGGCTCAGTTACACCCCTAACGTTGTTATGCTATTTTTTATTTTTTGTGAATTGTTGTTGTTTTATGTTACTTTACCATGCTTGCTGATAATTTTCATAAATTTGGAATGTTCTATAGGCATGTAAATATAGAAGCAGAAAATAAAGTGTTTTTCCCCAAAAAAATATTTTGTAGGCTATCATGATACATGGATTTCACCTGATTGAGATATGGCATCGTCATTCAGTTGAAGACGGCAGCGACTGCTTGGAGTCACATGACTTTTATAAATCTGCAGCAGGTATATGTTTCTATTTTTTCATGCAACTTAGTTTGGTCCCATTGTTTCTGTGTTTCAAATGCTTAAAACGTGACTCAGGTATGCTTTACATGTTCAATAGTTGGAAGATTTGCATATATACCACTCAATTCTTACGTATATACATATCTAACAACTAAACTTCAATTTTTTTACATATATGCCACCTTACCTATGCATGAAAAGGTGTCTTTCAATTTTGGAAAGTTAAAACAGTGGTATTTTTTAATGTGATATGAAAGATTTGGGTGATATAAATGTACTAATCAAAGTTTTGGTGTTAGATATGTAAATACATATGAATTGGGCGGCATGTATGTAAATGCCCCCAAATAGTTTTATTGGACAAGTAGCTATAATAAGCAATTGCATGCGGGAATCTTTTTTCAGAAACACAAGAATATGATTTACTATAACACAGTCCTGCATGCTAGTCCAATTTCACTTATTTTATCAATAAGAACATAAAAAGAGTAACCCTATGATTCCCAAAAAAGAATACACTGCCCAAGCTAAAATTCATCAAATAAAAAAAAATTTATATTTTGTGATCAACTATGTGCTTTTAAATGAGATTTGAGGACATGCCAATAGAAGTCATACACAATAAATCCTATTTTATATTTGGTTTAAGTTATTCAAATTAACTTTGATAGATGGTCATTTTCTCCTTTCCGCTTTTGTTGTAACATTGAATTATAAGGTGTATCATAAAAAAGAGTACCACTAAACTTGGGAGTGCTAGCTCTCACAATCCATGGGCCAATCAAGGTTGACTAAAAATGAAAGAAGGATGAGGAGTGGTTCACTCTATTTAATCTTTTCTGATTTTTTAACTGTAAAAGCACTTTAATTTACCTGAAGTAATTTTATTTTAAAATGTGCAACGAAGATCAAGCAACAACTACTAGTTGAATTGAATAATTTCTGAAATAAATGACTGGAGAATAAATTATGGAAGCCATGACTGGAGCTTGGAAGATGAAACTCAATGGAGCGAGAAAGGATAGAATAATGGTGAGGAGTTCTTTTAAATTTTGTTTATAATTCATCATTTATGATCAAAATAACATTCATCCAATCCATATTTAAATATTTTCCCTAAATTTCAATTCAAACCTAGTTATAGCTTACATTTAGATTATCTTAACATTCTATAATTAAATTCAAAATAAAGATAGTCTTCACTAGAGAGTACGAGATTGAAAATAGGATTACAAGATACTATTAGTTAGATGATCAACATTAAATATATTTCTATTGTTATTTTTTCTCATAGTTGAAGGCATTCTTTTCAAATTTCATGCCTTTAGTATTCACTTTACTTGCATATAATTATGTACTATTGTCATTAGTAAGACAATTTTACTCTGCTCTAACATAGGATTAGAACAAGGTCTAACATTTAGCCTCATTATACACCCCCTCCCTCTTTTCAGCTTTAGCACACATGTTATAATTGCTCCATGCTTGCTTTTTTTTTTTTACCGCTTTTACGGGCTACCACATTCCACTTCTTGCTTGCTGGTGCTGGCATCTTTTCATTCCTACTTTGTTTCTGCCAAAACCTATTAGTGCCCTCACATATACCCTAGCCAGTTTATGCTACCGCCATTGCATCCCTCCCTTAGAATGTCTCATTTGCCTCTCTCTAATTACCTTGGGCATGCTCTTTCTCGCTTTCTTTCATCCCCATGATTTGAGTGTGTATTTGTTTCGCTGTCTTTCCTTACGTTGTCATAGCTTTCACCACTTTTTTTAAGTTGAAAACCTTTAATATTAGTATCACCATGAAATTTAGTGGTACAAACTATTTTCTATGGTTATGGGCATTCCATTTTTGCTCTTTTTTCTCATGGAAACTTCAACTCCTGGTTACCTCTTACTTGCAATGGCACAATTAATATTTTTAAATGAAAAGTATTTGTGATACCATAATTAACCCAAACCACTATAGAAAAATCAAATATTATTACTGGAAAGCCGATCAGATTGTTATATCTCACACACTGAAAGGAAAATTGCAACCAACTAGACGAAAATGGAAATAACAACACACCCTACACATGACACGTGGCTTGGGTATCAAGGGTGGTGGAGATGGGTTGGTGAGATGTAGAAGGTAGTGGGATGGTGGGTGAGGTGGTTGACGAACAGAAAACAACAAAAATGATGATTTCTTGGATTTCTGACTGCAACCACGCAACCGATTCGACGTGGCGCGGCTATCCGGGATTAGGGCTGCAAGGGCGGCTGGGTATGGGTGCAGATTATGGCAGTGGGCAGCAAGTGAAAGAGTTTGCAGGCTGCGACAATGAAGGAGATAGGAGACAGATAGGAGACAGGAGGACTTTATTCATTCTATCTATTCCAAGCAAATAATCTCCTTTATTTTAACTTTATGTTCTATAATGATTTTTATTCCCTCTATGATTAGCCTTCAGGAATACTATAATATCTTATGGGAAAAATTGGATGAACTTCTCCAAAATCTATGATTAGATTGTCTGGAAAAAGTAGATTGAGAATTTCTTGTTGCAGGTCTCTCTCTAGGCTTTGTCTTTTTATCTAACATAGTCAAATATGGATTATGGTCAACTTTATCATTCCAAATATTGCTAATGTTTTTCCTAGTCCATTGGGTCGCTAATCTCACGCCTCCTTCATTGCCAATTTCTTACTACTTTGTCTTTTCTATGATGATTTTAATTGGCAAGATTGTCATGGTCATGGAGGAAGAGCCTTTTATTTCCTTCCTCTTACGGTGACCATTCTAATCATCCCTTAGAATGGAGCTAGACCATGCTCGTGGATATCTCAATTATTCAACATGTTGTAGCTCCCCTTTGAAAACCGTTGATGCTTCAACCTTGAAAACCTATTTAGATTAATCAATTCATCTTTAGAGGATTATGACATTGTTATTCAACACTCCTAGACATTTGTGTCTATTTCTTTCGTCATTTCCTCTTCTGATTTTGTTTTGATTGCTTTTATTGTTACATCCTATATTTTAAACTTTGGTGCCTCTTCAGATGCTATAAATAATCACCACTTATTTTCCTCTTTTTGATGTCCTTACTCCCTCTTGTTTTTATTCATAATGGTTTTGTTTTTCTTTTTCTAGCAAATGTTTTGTGTTTTTTTTAGGCCTTTTCTCTCTAGATGTGTTATATGTTTCCAAAATTCTTAGAAATTCAATTACATTTCATTGTCTCACACTCACAACTGCTCTTTAGTTTTATTTACTTCTTATTATGAGTTCTAAAATCTCAGCCTGGGAAATGGATTTGTTGAATTTGATGGAATCTACTACTTAATCCTCAGATTCTCACGTGCAGTGTCTTTCATTGTCATTCCATATTAGTGGCATTATCATTTGGTGGCCCTCCACCACAATGACTATCCCGCTTTTCACTCTTTAAGTTTTAATGTAATGGTTGTAGGATTGATAAATATCATCAGGTGTCATTTTCATTTTTTATGCAATCCAAGTTGTGTCTTTTTTTGATTTATTACATTTAGATATTTTGGGTCCGAACTCTTTCCTCACAAATCTAGGTTTTATTTATTTTTTATTTTGTTTTCTTAATGATCATTCTTCTGATTCTTGAATATATTTACTTAAGTGTTGATTTGACATTTTATCTCTGTTACATATTCTATCAAGAAACTATATTATAATTTTTGTTATGATTTGAGATTTTTCGTACTGATATTGCATTGATGATTTTTGAGAGTTCCATTTTTATTATTATATGCTAATAGTGAAATCATACATCATAGATCTTGTCTTTATACATCTCAATAGTATGGGATTGTTGATTGTAAGCGTTACCATTTACTTCACTTAGCACAGACATTGATGTTCCATGTCATGTATGAGGTCATCTTGTGCTGATTATCTGCTATTTTGTTAATCGATTCCCTTCAAATATTCTTCGTAATGTCATCCCCTTTTTGGCTTGTATTTTGGGCAATTTTCTTTTGTGTTACCCTTAAAATTTTTCTTTCTTATTTGTCCATTCCTTTTGGTCTATGAATAAACATTTTTCTTGAATTATTTGCTGCATCTTTCTTGGTCACTCTTGTTCCTAAAAAGGCTATTGTTGTTATAACTGTTTACTATTGTTTAGATCTCCAATGATACAATCTTTATGAATTCACTCTCTATTTCAAGAATCATTCTTACTAAAGAGTTTAGCTGATTTAAAAACTTGGCCATTGAATTTGCCCACATTAAGATAATTTTTTTAGCTCGGAGGAAGCATGCAATTAAATTTAATAAAGAATTTAGTCCATTAGTTTGTAAATCTGTTAATATTCTTATCAGTACTTAAAAAATTATGAATATAGAGAAAATATTTTGAAGATAACTTTTCTTATTGACAGTTGATTATAAAATCAATCTTATCTAAGGTTATTAAAACGACTCGTTAAGTAGCCCGTGTTCGATTCGTTCACTCATCAAATGAGCCGAACACAAATAATATTTTTGCCCTCGATATATAAATGAGCCGAACATGAACAAAGCTTTGTTTGTTTCTTGTTCGGCTCGTTTTAGCTCGAAATAAAAGGTTTATAATCAATTAAAATCATTAATTAAGAAACATAATAAAAATATATTATATTCTATTTTAATATAAATAATAAGATTTAAATCTCGCTTCTACTCTTAACATTCTACGACAACGTGACTAGGGCTCTCAAAATAGCTTATTGTTTGCGAACAACTCATGTCTGGCTTACGAAGCAAACGAGCCAAACATGATCAAATTTTTTGCTCTCGATATATAAATGAGCCGAATACGAATAGTGATATATTTTAACGAGCCGAACATGACCTGAACCTGGGCTCGCTCAAGCTCGGGTCGTTTTCACCCCTAATCCTACTGTCACTAGACTAGTTGTCTTCTTTGTTGTTGTCATCGTCGTTGTTGTTGTTGTTGTTGCTGTAAGTCAATAAATGCTAACTCCTAAAC